TGAAGCAGCAAGATGCCCGTACGATTGCGTCGGTGATAATCTCCGAATGGGTATCACGCTACGGAGTACCAGTCATTCTACACTCGGATCAGGACCCAGCCTTTGAGAGTTATTTACTGCGGGAAACATGTGCACTCCTGGAGATCCATAAAACGAGGACAACACCGTACCACCCTGAAGGGAACGGTCTGGTGGAACGCACCAACAGGACCATAAAGAAGATACTAACTACCCTTGTGGATCGCTATGAAGAGGAACGGTGGGACGAACACATCCACCTGTGCATGCTGGCTTATCGTGCGGCTGTACACGAATCGACAGGCTATGCGCCGGCATTTCTACAACTTGGCCACAACCTTCGACTACCTTCTGACGCAGACACGCCCGTGGCCCCGGCAGACCTAGTTGGCAGTAACGAGTACGTCCGATCGCTCCGCGAACGTCTGTTCGCCGCACTGCAAATTGCTCGCAAAAACATTGGACATGCTCAGCAGCACCAAAAGTCTGTATACGACCGCAGATCAAACGGACCTGTGTAAGAAATGGGTGACCAGTTGTTCCTACATCGCCCGAAAGCACCCCCGGGTGCACCAGCAAAATTCCACCAGACGTGGCAGGGCCCTTATTTTTTTATTTGAAGAGACCCAAACAATACATATGTCATCCGTAACCCGTCTCAGCCACATACGGATGTGCAATACGTACATTACAACCAGTTAAAACCATTCCCCTCACATCCCGAACCTACTGACTCCTGAGCCGTCACAGCCAACTCACACTGTCAGACTGCCCCCATATGTATGTTTTTACATCGTTTGGTACTTACTTGTTGTTGCCCCTATAGAAGTCCGTGCTGCGTCTGTGACTTTTTCCCGCTCCCGCTGATTGCGTCATTGTTGATTGTACGTTTGCTTAATTCATGATGCTTACTAATCCGTTTGTCTGTAGAACCAGTTCCTGTCATTCCTCAATATACCTTCTGCTGCCCACGTCTGCCTGCTCCTATTGACTACTGGCTACGAACTGGATATCATCAAATAGCCGCAATCGTCTTGAGATACCTATAACCGTCCGGATCTTACATATACTTTTTGCGTACTACTTATAAACCTGGGGTTTCGATGCCAGTGTCCTTTAGTGGATGTTAACGCCGCAAAGCAGTTATCACTTGAGTGGCACCTTGCTCCAAATAACGAGGAAACTTCCAGGAGAGCCGATACTTACCTATGACCCGTTAGCACAAGATCTGGCCAGCGGACCTTCTGTAGTGAAAAGCTTGCCAACAGTATCCTCCCGTTTCCAACCCCAAGTGACAGCCAATCCCCATATTTATTCCCCTTGACCAGATGAACTGAAACCTTCTTGTTTTGCTGAACTATTTTTATAACTCTAACGGACTTTGGCCGGACATTGTGATTTTGCGGTTGCTCGCCGTCGATATCTGTTTGTTTGCGACGATATCGATTTTGAGGCGTAGTGATCTGCGCTTTATACTCAGGCTGGTAATTGTACAGCCTTTTTTGTAACCCTACGGTATCTGCAGAGGAGAATCCGTTGAGGTTTGTTGAATATGTATATTATTATATTTGCAATAGTACCGTGATTCCAGAATTCGGATTTCTTGGTCGTTTTCCTGGATTGGTACGCGTGACACAAACTCAGAAAGCAGATAGCCGTAACACCTTCTACCTTTGAACCAAATGAATCACGTCAAGGACAAGTAAAAAGACTTTCAAGATCAAAGCGCCCAGTTTCGTTGGGCAACACTTTTCATTTTTCCGGGTAGTTGAAGAAGACGGGTCCGTCAGGCCAGAACTCCAGCTCCCACAGTGTTTTCTTGAGACTTGTTTCCTGTTTTTGTCATTCAGAAAAAATGCGGTCGGCCGATGTCTTCGATGGCCTCATGCATTTGGATTGCTTCGTTTTGTTTTTCCGAAAGTGTAGATATTTTGTAACTTTTTCCGCATGTTTCATCCCCGGATTCTGGCTTACAATGGTCCTGCATTTTGCAAAAGGTCACCTCATCTTCTGTATCATCTGTAATTATTTTTCTGAAAAATAGTTAGGACCTGTATTCCAGAACACGCTGAACCATTTGAGATAGCTTTTTGTCCATTCGAATGCGCACTGGGCCTGCTGTAGCACGTTTCCTGTGCATAGCTACCAAGAAACCCGAAGGAAACACACGGGCCGGAATACTGCCGGGTCACCGAAAATTAGAAAAGAGAAGCAGCAATGCAGAGGTGATTTTAAAACCATGGTACGTCTGGCCTGCAAATTTGCGCTCTATCCTGAGTCATTCGTTTCTAGTTGTAGCCCGTCTTAGTTTGAATCAATCAACGAAGCTGCGAATTTTTGGAGAGCTTGTGAGATGGATGTTTGGGGGCTCCGCCTATCTGACCCGGCGGAAAATAAATTCACAGGGAGCCACACAGCTGTCGCTATGTCCCAGTGGAGCTTATCAACGTGGTGACTTTGCCGGCCGGTGACATCCAACAAGGACGTTAATTGGCTTGCGTGGCACCCGACGTGCACGAAATCTTGTCAAGTTCAAGCGTTTTTTGAACGACTTAGACAGCGCCGCTACCGGATTTCCACTAGCGCTATGGCTCCATCCAGGTCTTAGGAGCGCTAAAACCACCTACTAGTATAAGATGTATGGAGTGATAGCTAGGGGTGAGCTGCTTAAGGGTTTGTGATCAACTGCACATCTTCCTGCCTGTTTCACAGCTCTTTCCTAGAATTGCTTGGTACAGCTATCGCGCCTCTAAAATGCGAACCTCAGTCATACGCCTGATTGTTGAACACGCTGTTTTCAATACTGGTAGTCTGCTCCAGAGGACTCTGTACGGCCGATGGAGGGCAAATGGTGACTATAAGCCTAGATTTATGCTTGCTTCCGTTTTACCTTAACCATTCTGTGTCAACCGAGTCGTGAAAGGATTGTGCAAGGACACTACCAAGGAGCAGCTTTGCCTGCTTCGTTGTCGTGATTCTTCTGTAGAAAGACCTACGGATGATCGGTATGCTCTCCCTTGCGCGCCCGTAAACTAGGGAGACCGTGGTGGTCTTTGCTGCCAAATCAGATAGCTGATTGAACTTTTTCGCAGCCAGTGGACCCGGGATGGGTGGTACAAGATACCCGTTCAGCGAAGAAGGTTCTTCATCATTTTCCTTCCAGGTCGCTGAGTTCTTCACGCTCACATCCTCCTTAGAAATAAGCCCCAGTTTCGCGCTGTGTCACGAATAAAGGGAACATTCACACTGATCATTTCCATACAAAGGAACATCCCGAACTGCAGCCTGATACACACTTTGCCTGATATTCAGAGATATACCGCCTTGAAGTTATAGGTGTTTCGAATTATCAAACGCGGCCCGAGCACTGTAGGTTCGTGCATTGACCTCATCAGTCACACTAAAACCAAAGCTTTTATAAATTCGTATGTACACAAAACGCTGTACCACACTACCTGTCCAACCTGGATCGAGATCGCATATGCGATCTCGCTTATGCTTTGTTCTACCTCTGAGGAGTTACTCGGTCAACCAAAAATCCCATTCCTCACAGAAATCCAAATCCCTTCCCGATGACCTCAAAAATTGCGTCCGTTACGGGGCTCTTCAGTAACCGAAATATATTAGTGCAATGACGGCATGGCAATGCTATACCCGGTTTGATAGAACACGCTCAAATACGCCGTTCGCTCTCTTGGCCCTTCATTTACCCTATCGCATAATTTTACATTACCTGCGAATACGAACATACTCACGCTTTATTCTGACTGTAATCATGTGACGATGCTTGACGGTGCGCCACCGACCTGTTGGGAATAAATATCATTGTGATAAAGTGACCCAGTGTGGGTTCAAATTGTACACCAAAGGACATCCAAAGTTCATCCGGCCTTAGATTGCCCCGGTTCTGGCATACATTGTGAGCAATCCCCTATGAATCGAAAAATTGATTGACAGACGTCAAAATGTGCTAACAGAGACTCACCATGATATGACGCCTCAGACGCAACTGATTTTGCAAAGCTCCACGCTTTTCTTTAGGCCGTGACACCTAGTTTCTGAGGTCAACTCATCGTACAAACACGCAGCAACACCAGATATCTCTGATTTCATGCCTTCACAAGCTATAAGCTACCTAAGTTGCACACGATCTAGCCGATGCACGTCACTCATAATCACATATGCCAACTCCAGTTTGCATCGACCACATACCTATTATATGCTTTGAAACTGGACCGTGTCGACTCATTGAAGCAGTTATGGGTTGTGACAACTTTTGACTGTCTGTTATTTCGGGCGGCTTTCTAGCCCACATTGAAGTGCTTTCTAGGAGACTTTTTGGACACAATTCCCTATTTTCAGTTCTCAATGTAGACAAGGCTGTCTTATTACCTTGCTTGAATGGCAGCAATTAAGCCGAACCCTCGATAGACCCAAGAATATCCTAACTACAATGACAAACATAAACGGCTCATCCAAGATATTCATGTAAGGGTCTGTCCACGAACCGAAGCACGGCGTCGCGATGACAGTGCCGCGACTACCATACCTATTCTGATGGCTTTCCAGTAGTTTATGTGCATATTGCCTACAAGACGGTCTCAGTCCGTCTAATTTGTGCAAGGACTAGAAAGCAGTGACCATCTTATTGTGCCGTATGCTTGTTCTGCCCAAAAACGCAATGGTTTATCCAACGGTACTACTGGTGGCTCGGTATAACGGTGAAGATCCAACCAAGCCTTGGGCCAGATAAAACGTGTGCTGCTCATCATAAAAACGGAAAAAAAATCCTAGGTATGACGAATTCCTCAGCTTCGGTGGGACGCTTGTCGTAACCATAGAAGAATCTTCCATATCCAGGCCACGAAAGCCCACTCAAATTTGAGTTCGCACGGACGTGATCGAGCGTGAATATTGTCTAAGTCACTTTAAGATTACTTCCAAATGCAATACGTAAGAAAAGAAACGAGGATGCCAGCTTTTCGACATTTCCAACTGTTGCAATAGAGACAATCCTCGAAGCCGCCGACAGACAATTAAATACGAAACTCGCGTGCTCAGTGAACTCTGAGTCCGCACAAATAACCTCTGATAAAACTGCGGCCGTGTGGGGAAATCTAAGGCGCCCGAAAGTGTACCCTTAAATGCTAAAACTTTATGCTAAAGCTTCACTTATCGAACAACGATGTCAGAGATATTTCGAGTGTGCGTCTAGGACGCATTACTCGAAGTCCCCCATTCACCGGACACCCACTTCGCTCACATCTATTGAGGCTCATCAATGCAGCCATCGAGAAGCCTGTATTGATTTGAGTCATGATTGAGTATTGGTGAAAAGAAGGGACTGGATACCAAAGAGGAAGTGAGGATAAGATAAGGGAGGTCATAACGCAAATGTTGTCAGAGTGAAAACATGTACCACATGACACGCGCAAGTTCTGTATATCGATCGAACAGTGAAATCGGCAGGCAATTAGAACGGGAAAACGAAAACAATTTCGAACGTTCCGCGCGTAGCAAG